CAAAATTGTCTTCTACTTCATGCCTCCCATGTCACTTCACTTGGCTTTTGTCATCCTTTAAGCACCAGACCTTAATAATTCATGGTGCTCATTTTATCATTTGAATTATAAAATGTAAGCGTCTTAATAAAAGAAAATTTTTACTATTATGTTCAAAAAAAAAATAAAAGAAAATTTTTAATATTAAATTATTTATTTTAATTTAAAAATTATATAATATAATTTAATACAATCTGTGCTATATAATAATTCTTCTATAATTAATTGGAGTAAGGTTTAGTGGCAATAGTTTGATTACTGAGAGAGAGAGAGTACCCTTTTGTGTGGGGTGATTACTTTTCAACCTACCTACTAATGCTAGTATCCCAGAAATAAGTGTACCTAACAATGACCCTTACATGGCTCCCTCTTTTAGTTTAGCTAAAAGGAACCATCTTGGGGATATGAGTATCACCAAAACATCTTCTACAGGTAAGAGGAAAACAGGACAGGTGAAAAGCAATTTCAAAATTGCACTAGTATCATCTTTGACTATTGGTTATCACTATTTTAATTCGAAAATGTTGACATATGCACTGTAGTTTAACAATTTAAAATTTTTCATTGTAGAACCATCAGTTCATCTAATAATTGATCTAGAATTTGCAACCCAACAGCTGCAGCAATATCTTCAACTTCTTCATGCTTGACAGTCATGGAATTTAACCAGATTGAATTACACACCTCTGTTTCTGTCAGCCTGCAAATTGCATCCCAGAACTGGCTGTGCCGTTCCTTCTTCCTCAATCTAGGACTTTTCCCTTCACAATTGTCCATCAGAATGTCGTCTTCTCTTCCACATGGGGATCCATAGTTTTCCGGCTCTGGTGATAATTTCCTTCTTGACCCTTCTAACTTCAAATCTTCATCTGTTAAAGAAAGAACGCAGAATTAAAAAAAAAAAAATGCAGCGTAACGTACATGTAACGTTTGAATGAATCTACTTGATGTTAAAACAAAGGGGGGAGGGGGGGGATAAGTGAACTAACTTAAGGTAGGAACTTCTTGATCAACGATGAATTGATCAAAATCAAGAACAGAAACAGGACTTGAATCTTGTGAGCTGCATTCATGTTGTACGTTTTCAACTGCACTCCATTTTCTTTTCTTCTTCTTCTTCCTCTTTCTCTCCAGAGCTTTTATGTTGGATAAGGCAAAATCCTGATCAGATTTGTCAGATATTCTCCTATTCATCTCTTGCTCTTGTTCAATTAAGACACATAAAGCCTTCTTGCTCATCGTCATCTCTTGATGATTCTCCCTGTTCTTCCTTTCAGAAGATACCATCTTCGTTATGTTTTTCTTCCCTTTACTCTGCTTCCTCTGTTTTGCTCTCAAGTCTCTTCCTTTACCCTCCTTCTCAAAGCTGAGTACAAAGAATTCTTCTTCTTCTAGCACGAGGAATGTCGGCATCTCACGGAAGGACATTGTGTAGTTTACGTGTGTATGCTTGTTCTGCTCTTGATCAGAACCATAATGCGTGTAGTCCACAGAATTCATTAATTTGCTTCTTGAAATTGATGAATTTGGTTTTGCTTGGCCGATTTCTGGCATGGTATCCAAACCCATTAGCCTAGCCACAATCCCTGGAGCTTCAATCTTGTCCTCAACTTCCAACCCTTGATGTTTGTCGATGGCGCCAGAGCTTCCTTCTGTGATGGAATCAGAAGGATGTGTAGGGAGGCTGCGAGAACAAAGAATTCGACGAAATATGCCAGCAATACAACCAGCAGTGGCACTTTTTGAAGTGCACATTGTGGGATCAAAAGAAACAGAAGAAGAAGGTGATGATGAAGTGGAGGAAGAAGGTAACAACTTCATGTTGAAAGCAGTACAATATAGAAACAGTGAAAATAGGAAATACAAAGAGTTGGGTTTTGTTGAACTTTAGACTCTGAACCAGGACAGGTAACAGTTTAAAGTGGCAAAAGGCGTTAAAGTAGGTAATGCCAAAAGGTCAAAGGTAAGCATTTGAATGGCGGGCTTTGCATTTGAATGGACAACATAGGTTGTGGGCAAGGGCAAAGATGATATCAGGAATATGTTTCCATACCCCATGAGAAGTCCCTTTTTTGCAAATTTGTTTGGTAGCAATGGTGGGATGAACGCAATAATGCACATAATAAGCATCTAGAAAAGAGACCGTTCCTTTGGGATTTATTCTTTTTTTTTTTTTTTCTTTCACTACTTGTTTGGGTAAGGTCCTCAATCTTATATTGGGATTTCTATTTAGTCCCCCAAACAATTTTTTTAGACTAATTGAGTTCAAAACCTTTTGAATTTTTTTACTAAAGTCCTTTATGCGTATGAAATTGGATAAAAAAATAAAAAAGGGGTAAGATACTAGAATACTTATTCTTTTCTGTATTTCGCATTATTTTCTACACGTTAAAAGAATTTATTGAAAATAGTTTAAAAGATTGCGAACTCAATTGGCAATTTGGCATGAAAGAAAAGTCTAGGACCCAATTGAATTCTCAACATAAAGTCCGAGACCAAGTTAATTATTACTTAATTCCTTTTCTTTTTCCCAGTTAATTCTCAGTGCATGGTGGCAGTAAAACTAAGAGAAAGTTGAGACTGGGAGCTTATCAGTGAGAGGGTGAGGGGAGGGTAGACATTTGGAGCAGAATGATGCTGACTTTTGATGCTTTTTGTGATTTCAAACTAGCCCACTTGGTAGGCCCACCCACACCTGCTCCCCTACCGATCGAATCTGCCTATCTGTTGGGGAATTTTTTCAGACTTCTTCTCCAACTATGGGACCTGCCTGGTTTTTAATTACTAGTCAGTCCATTGGGCTGGACTTCCTGGACTCTATCAATTACTAGTACGTATACTCCTCTCAACCTAATGTGAAGGCCCATTTTTTTTTATCACTAATCTCATCAAAATCTGCAGTCTGTAGCTTTGATTTTTGTGATTCAGGCTCAGTTTACATTATTTGCCAGTCGCAACAATGTTATCAAGTAAAGAAGGATGTAAAAAAGTTTCTTACTCCATTACTCCAGTAAAATTCCTAAGTACAGAAACATATATTAATATGTCTAATTGAAAATATTATAAAAGTAGGTATCAACCCTAAGGAGTGGTTCAATGGTTAAAAATTTGAGATTTTAAGTTAGAAATTTCATATTCGAATCTTGAGTCGAGTAAGGTGGGATTTAGGGAAAAGGGAGGATTAACCTCTCTTATATAATTTATTATTATCAAATGTATAAAAAAAGGTAGACATCAACATGTATTATAAAAAATTAGGTGAAAAAATGATTTATATAACCTATCATTATCAGATGTATAAAAAAAAGTAAGTATCAACATATATTACAAAAAATTAGGTGAAAAAATACTTAAAATTATGGGTGCAGTTGAGATTGCTGTGAAGTGTTGCGACTATAGCTGTAAAGTACTGTAACTATAGCTGTAAAGTACTGTAACTATAGCTATGACTGCAATTGTATTGAACTATATTGTATTGTAATTATGAATAAAAGTTAAGTAGCGTTTGGTTATTTATTTTTTAAAAGCATTATAGATGGAATATGATAGAATTTATTAATTATTAATTAAAATTTAAGACATATTGTAAGATATATAATTATTAAAATAGATAATATTTATTATATTTTAATAATTTAAGTTTTTTAATTTGTTATTATTATTAAAATATTATAAATTATTATATAATTAAATTATACAAAATTAGGTTTTAATAAGTAATTTTGTAATTATTTTAAATATTATGTGTTTTTCATAAAAGTCACAACTAGAATGCTCCAAAATGAGGTTTTTGACTTTATATATAAAATTATTGTAGATTTACTATATCTTTTTGTAATTTTTATAAAAAAACAGTCTGAAAAAAATTATCAAACATATACATATATATTTAAAAATATTGTTTGATTATACGAAAAAACCCCAAAACGCACCATATATCATTTTAATAAAGCCCCGTTAAAAGACACTAAAATATTTTAATTTTGGTTAAACCCCCATTTTAGTTCCTCAACTATTGAATGGACCCCCAATTGAGTCCCTGAACTTAAAAAATCCCTAATTGGATCCATTGGATCCATAATGTTTACCATTTTGGTCCCAACTTGGTCCTTCAGTTAAAAATTCAATAATGTGTCCCGTTAACTCATGGTAGCATGATGACATGTCAAAATATTGTGACATGTCAGATGTATAGTTGAAAATAAGATGACATGGCAACATGACATGTCACATATCCGCCCTAACACAAAAAAAAATAAAAAAAGTGAGGCCCACCACTGCAAAAACATACAACTCCCCTTTTATTCCCATTCGAATAGAACATGGCCCTTCCATTTCAATCACCCAATGTTCTTCTTCCTTAGGCGCTTCTCCTTCTATCTTTTCTCCTAGCCTTTTCTCCATGGTGAACAAGCTTGGCTGACTGGTAAAGCTTGTGTGACGATTGGGACCTTTCTTCAAGTGAGGCTTGGTGGTGCAAGGAAGGAGATCCAGATCTAGGTTCCTTTAGTCATGCTAGCCTTACAAAATAGGGGAACCCAAGATCTGGGTTCCCTTGGTTATGTGAACCTTGTGCAAAGGAGAAGGCCGATTTTGGGTGTAAGGAAATCCATATCTAAGAGGAAATCTAAATCTATTCTGGAGCACATTACTTTCTTACTATTGTTGATGATTACACTTGTGCTACTTGGGTATTTCTTATGAAATACAAATAAGAAACTTATCAATTTCTGACTATGTTTCTTAATATGGTTAAGAATCAGTTTGGTTTGTAGGTAAAGCAAATAAGATCTGACAATGGACAAGAATTTCTCTTTAACTCTATGCAAGCCTTCTTTCATGAAATGGGATTTTGCATCAAACCTCATGTGTGAATACACCCCAACAAAATGGAGTGGTGGAAAGAAAGCATAGGAATATTCTAAATGTTGCTCGAGCTTTGAGATTTCAAGCCAACTTACCTATTTCCCTTTGGGGAGAATGTGTTCTCACAGCTGCCTACCTTATCAATTATTCACCCACACCATTACTTGATGGTAAAACTCCGTATGAACTTTTCTTTGGTAAGGCACCTTATATAACCACCTAAAAGTTTTTGGTTGCTTATGTTATGCAAAAGATCACTCCTTGCCTACAAGTAAGTTCTGTCCTTGATCTAAAAAATGTATCTTTATTGGAGACCCTCATGGTAAGAAAGGATATCGTATTTTTGATCTTGAAACTAAACAAATATTTGTTTATCGTGATGTTATTTTCTATGAAAACATTTTCCCATTTCAGGACACTAATTCAATTCTCCATGCTGAATCAAGAAAATCCCTGCCTTTACAATATTTTGATGATGATGATCCACCAGAAGTTGATCAACCCACCATCATACAGCCCAAACAGCCTTGCCCAAGGAATGTTGATAGTGCTAACTCAAGCGTCGATGCTTGCAATGTTGCACATGGAGAGGGAGATGCAAATCCAACAATTACTAGAACTTCTGATGCAAGCCATGGTGATGTGGCCAATCCCATTAATTCCGATTCAAGGCCACAATGCAAGAGAAGGAAGCCAACCTATCTCACAGAGTACATCTTAAATGGAGTTCAAACAAATACCAACACTTCTTTGACCTCTGGTACGTCGTATTCTATTTTTTATTTTATTGCATATGATAAATTTAGTCCTACTCACCATTCTTTTCTAGCGGCCATCTCCACTAAAGATGAGCCAAAATCCTTTTCTAAGGCTATCCAAGATCCCAAATGGAGACAACTGATGAAAGCCGAAATTGATGCTCTCGAGAAAAATAATACTTAGACTTTGGAGACGCTTCCTCCTAACAAAAGACCTATAGGTTGCAAATGGGTCTATAAAATCAAATATAATGCTGATGGGAAAATTGAAAGATATAAAGCACGCCTTGTCGCAAAGGGATTCACCCAAGTTGAAGGCATAGATTACCATGATACCTTTGCCCTTGCTGCTAAGCTAGTTACTGTTCGATGCTTACTAGCTATCGCCGTTGCTTGCAATTGGGAGTTACATCAATTGGATGTTCACAATGCCTTTCTCCATGGAGATCTTAATGAAGAAGTTTATATGCAACTACCTCCAGGCTATGGAAATAAAGGAGAACAATGTGTTTGTCGCCTAAGGAAGTCCTTATATGGACTCAAGAAAGCATCAAGAAATTGGTTTGCCAAATTTGCTTCAGCTTTAAAACTTTTTGGTTTTCAACAATCTATAAGTGATTATTCACTTTTCACTTATCGATGAGAGAATAATTTCCTTGCTGTACTAGTTTACGTTGATGATTTGATTATTGCAGGTAATAATTCATCTCTTTGTCAGAAATTGAAAGAATTTCTCCATACAATGTTTCACATCAAAGATCTTGGCAAGCTCAAATACTTCCTAGGTATTGAAGTGGCTCGGCATCCCTCTGGAATTTTCCTTTGTTAATGAAAATATACACTCGACATCCTTACTGAAGCTGGAATGCTTGGAACCAAGCCATGCCCTTTTCCTATGGAGCAAAAGATGAAACTCACTCCTTGTATTGGTTCCCCTCTATCTGATCCTATGCAATACAGGAGACTGGTTGGAAAGCTAATACATTTGACTATAACTCGGCCTGAAATTTCATTCGCTGTCCATACTCTTAGTCAATTTATGCAAGCTCCTCGACAACCTCATCTAGATGCAACAATGCGAGTTTGGCGATACTTGAAATCCTCACCTGGACAAGGGATTTTCCTCTCTTCATCAAGTTCTTTACAACTTTCAGCCTATTGTGATTCTGATTGGGCTAGTTGCCCCACAACAAGGAGATCTACAACTGGCTACCTCACCTTGCTCGGCAACTCACCTATATCGTGGAAAACCAAAAAACAATCCACAGTCTCAAGATCATCAGCAAAAGCTGAATATAGAGCTATGGCTTCCACTGTTAGTGAACTCCTATGGCTCAAAGGCTTGCTCCAGACATTAGGAGTTGATACTTCTCAACCAATGCAATTGCATTGTGACAATCAAGCAGCTATTCACATAGCCACAAATCCAGTCTTTCATGAGCGCACAAAACACATTGAACTTGATTGTCATTTTATTCGTCATTGGATTCAAGTTGGTCTTATTAAGACTTCTCATGTTCGCTCCAACCTACAAGTGGCTGATATATTTACAAAGGCATTGGGAGGTGATCAATTTCAATTTCTTCTCTGCAAGTTAGGCATTACAGATTTACATGCACCAACTTGAAGGGGGGGGGGTGTTAGAGATATTCACTAGCATAGAATCTCAATCACAGCACAAAATCAATCACTAGCTGTTAGCTAGCCGTAAGGCACATTTATTTCCCAGTTTTTCCTTATTCAATTTTGTACCGTTAGCCTAGGATCTTTTGCCTTAGCTTGTCTAGCATTGTATATATATATATGTACTTGAATTCTTTATAAAAATATATACAAGAACATTACTTTTCCTCAACCTGCTATTGTTAAACTGTTATATCCTTTTAGTTTGAATTTTTTTGGACCTGGTTTGCAAATTGCAATGTTATTATGTAATTACAAGTTTCAATTAAAGAAATGGAGCTGGCTGCTTGGTTTATTTTTGTCGTTCAAGTTCATTATCTATCATGTTTCATTTTGTCTATGCTTGGTCTACGTGTAGAATCATAATTGTTTCTGTTCGATCTAATTTCATAGGTAATTGCTGTGCAAGATGTTGATTGTCGTGCCATGTATATTCACAGTATATTTTAGTTAAATATACTAGGTATTAACATGTTTCAACATGAACAAGGTAAAAATGAAAAAGGGAAATTGAAGTGAGATATTCTCCGCTTTAAAGTTCCCTCTGGGTCTTAATTTTGGAAACTGATGCTTGAGCAGGGAGGTATTTTGTCCAATTGTCGGTTATGGTGCGCAATTGACTTCATTGGAGGACTTTGAAAATCCTTATAATGCATAGTTCTTTCAAGCAAAAGTTGCTTGTGGTTATGCTGTGGTACCTTTCCTCTCATTAATTTTGTATATTGTTGTTTGGACAATTCTTTCATTTATTGTTGATTCAGGGTTTTCCATTTCTTTATGCAATTTCTTGCCTTTGTTCTCTATTGTTAAGCAATTGTGTTACTCATAATTTCTACATGAATTGAGGGCCAAATGTGATGATTAAGTTGTTATCTGTTGGTTATCCAGATAATCAAAACTATCTTATCTATTCCCTCATTGAGTATTCTTCTCACAATTACTTTGTTCAACAATCCAGAAACCAGCCTCTACCCCACCCTACCCATCAGTCACTTGCAATTGCAAAGAACCCCAAGTTAGAATGATAAAAAGGAAGCATTGAAGGTGAGAGTTAAGAAATTTGGAGAATGGTCAAGACTTACAAGAAATTTGGAGAACCACTGTGTTGCAGCTTTGACACCACAACTCCAACAGAATGAGAAGAATCGGCTATTCCATGCCATTGAAACGGTACCGTGTGTGGCGAAGAAGGCCGAGTGGGTGTTGAAGTGGATTGACAGATCTGAATCTTTCCCTGAGAGATTAATCGCGTTCGCTTGCGTCGAGGGGATTTTCTTTTCAGGGAGTTTATGCGGTCTGAAACCCATTAAAAATTTATAAATAATCACCATTAAAAATAAATAATTTGGTGAAAAAATACCCAAATAAACAAAAGATCATTAAAACATATAAAAATATCTAAATAAATTACCCAAATAAATAAATAATCTAGTGAAAAATAGCTAAAAAATCTTTAATAAATCTAAAATTCATTAAAATTTTATATAAAAGATTTTTAGTTCAAAATTTTTTATTGTAATTACCCTAATTATTAATTTTTTAATTTTTTAATTTTTAATCTTAACAACTAAAATTTAATTTGTTTGGTTTAGTTTTAAGTCAAACAAAACTTAAAACCCAATTAAAACCTATTCGTCGATTATGATTTTCTCAGTTTTCAAATTTTTTTTTTCCCGTTGTAGATTTTTTGGCCCACCCAGGCACCCCTATAGTTTTGTTTGTGAAATAAATTATTTAATCCTATGTTAATTTAAAGAAATAAAAAGAATAAACTTAATTATTTACCCACAACATGAGCGCCGTGATTCACCTGCAATTTCTCCGGCTGTTTTACTATGATCCCAATTGTTTTTTTTTTCCCTGTTTTTTTTTTCTTTAATCCTTATTTATTTATTTTAAAGAAAGCTTATATTATCTTATCTAGTTGCTTCACAACCCCAGAAACTTGGATCCACTAGTAAGCAACTTTAGAATTCAAGTTTTAGAATTAATATTTAAAAAATTAATTTTTTAAAAATATATTAGGTTTGGAGTTACACATTTAAAATTAAAATTAAAAAAAAATTAAAATAAATAAAGATAAGTTTGACTTTCAACATTTGACCATAATTAGTCAAATTAAACAAGATTAAAACTAATTAATCATAATAATTGATTTAATTAAATGATTAATGATAAATTAATTAAAATTAATTAGAATAACTAATCATTTTAACTAACCTTTCATTAAAATATTTAAATTAATCTAATTACCTTAATTAAAGCTAATCAACATAATCAATTAATTTTAATTAAGATTAATCAAATCAATTAATCCCCATTTAAAACTATTATTATGATTTTATTATTTTTACATTTTTATATTTTTTTTGTTGGGTCAACTAATATGACTAATGGGCCATGATCCGTTTCAATTCCATTTCAGCCCATAACTTATAAAGTAAAACTAAACGGGTCGGGTCAACGCTACCATCGTCTTGAATCTCTTGATGGGTTAAGACTTAAGAGCTGATCAAATGTAAACAAAAAATAGGGATATTTTTAGGTTTTTAAAATGTTCGTTCAACTCCCAAGAACAGCAGAAATGAACCAACTATATAACCAGATTTCTACCACCAACCAGTCAACCACAAACAATCAGAAATGACAAACGAAAATGCAGTGATTTCCATTAACAGACATCAATTTCTACAAATTCATTTCAAACAAAACAGCACCAAAATTCAGA